ATAAAATCGTGTTAATCAATTTGGGGTGATTTATCAATTTTTCAATTTTTCTGAGTACCTTTTTTCATAGATTTCAGTGTCAAATCTGAGAATAATTTTGTGTATGGAGTTTGGGGTATGTTAATTGACCATTAGGATACAAAATCTCAACAAGAAAAATTTTGAAATTTCATCGTTTTAGTAAGAAGGTACCCCCCTTATGATTTAGATTTTGGAAAACTTTGAAAGGTCATAACTTCTTTTCCATTATAGATAGAAAGCTGAATCTTTTACTGAATTTCATCATTTCCAAAGGACTACAATCCCTGAAAAATTCAACTTATTTGCACTTATAGTTCCTGAGATAAAATCGTGTTAATCAATTTGGGGTGATTTATCGATTTTTCAATTTTTCTGAGTGCCTTTTTTCATAGATTTCAGTTTCAAATCTGAGAATAATTTTGTGTATGGAGTTTGGGGTATGTTAATTGACCATTAGGATACAAAATCTCAACAAGAAAAATTTTGAAATTTCATCGTTTTAGTAAGAAGGTACCCCCCTTATGATTTAGATTTTGGAAAACTTTGAAAGGTCATAACTTCTTTTCCATTATAGATAGAAAGCTGAATCTTTTACTGAATTTCATCATTTTCAAAGGACTACAATCCCTGAAAAATTCAACTTATTTGCACTTATAGTTCCTGAGATAAAATCGTGTTAATCAATTTGGGGTGATTTATCAATTTTTCAATTTTTCTGAGTGCCTTTTTTCATAGATTTCAGTTTCAAATCTGAGAATAATTTTGTGTATGGAGTTTGGGGTATGTTAATTGACCATTAGGATACAAAATGTCAACAAGAAAATTTTTGAAATTTCATCATTTTAGTAAGAAGGTACCCCCCTTATGATTTAGATTTTGGAAAACTTTGAAAGGTCATAACTTCTTTTCCATTATAGATAGAAAGCTGAATCTTTTACTGAATTTCATCATTTCCAAAGGACTACAATCCCTGAAAAATTCAACTTATTTGCACTTATAGTTCCTGAGATAAAATCGTGTTAATCAATTTGGGGTGATTTATCGATTTTTCAATTTTTCTGAGTGCCTTTTTTCATAGATTTCAGTTTCAAATCTGAGAATAATTTTGTGTATGGAGTTTGGGGTATGTTAATTGACCATTAGGATACAAAATCTCAACAAGAAAAATTTTGAAATTTCATCGTTTTAGTAAGAAGGTACCCCCCTTATGATTTAGATTTTGGAAAACTTTGAAAGGTCATAACTTCTTTTCCATTATAGATAGAAAGCTGAATCTTTTACTGAATTTCATCATTTTCAAAGGACTACAATCCCTGAAAAATTCAACTTATTTGCACTTATAGTTCCTGAGATAAAATCGTGTTAATCAATTTGGGGTGATTTATCAATTTTTCAATTTTTCTGAGTACCTTTTTTCATAGATTTCAGTGTCAAATCTGAGAATAATTTTGTGTATGGAGTTTGGGGTATGTTAATTGACCATTAGGATACAAAATCTCAACAAGAAAAATTTTGAAATTTCATCGTTTTAGTAAGAAGGTACCCCCCTTATGATTTAGATTTTGGAAAACTTTGAAAGGTCATAACTTCTTTTCCATTATAGATAGAAAGCTGAATCTTTTACTGAATTTCATCATTTCCAAAGGACTACAATCCCTGAAAAATTCAACTTATTTGCACTTATAGTTCCTGAGATAAAATCGTGTTAATCAATTTGGGGTGATTTATCAATTTTTCAATTTTTCTGAGTACCTTTTTTCATAGATTTCAGTGTCAAATCTGAGAATAATTTTGTGTATGGAGTTTGGGGTATGTTAATTGACCATTAGGATACAAAATCTCAACAAGAAAAATTTTGAAATTTCATCGTTTTAGTAAGAAGGTACCCCCCTTATGATTTAGATTTTGGAAAACTTTGAAAGGTCATAACTTCTTTTCCATTATAGATAGAAAGCTGAATCTTTTACTGAATTTCATCATTTTCAAAGGACTACAATCCCTGAAAAATTCAACTTATTTGCACTTATCGATTTTTCAATTTTTCTGAGTGCCTTTTTTCATAGATTTCAGTTTCAAATCTGAGAATAATTTTGTGTATGGAGTTTGGGGTATGTTAATTGACCATTAGGATACAAAATGTCAACAAGAAAATTTTTGAAATTTCATCATTTTAGTAAGAAGGTACCCCCCTTATGATTTAGATTTTGGAAAACTTTGAAAGGTCATAACTTCTTTTCCATTATAGATAGAAAGCTGAATCTTTTACTGAATTTCATCATTTCCAAAGGACTACAATCCCTGAAAAATTCAACTTATTTGCACTTATAGTTCCTGAGATAAAATCGTGTTAATCAATTTGGGGTGATTTATCGATTTTTCAATTTTTCTGAGTGCCTTTTTTCATAGATTTCAGTTTCAAATCTGAGAATAATTTTGTGTATGGAGTTTGGGGTATGTTAATTGACCATTAGGATACAAAATCTCAACAAGAAAAATTTTGAAATTTCATCGTTTTAGTAAGAAGGTACCCCCCTTATGATTTAGATTTTGGAAAACTTTGAAAGGTCATAACTTCTTTTCCATTATAGATAGAAAGCTGAATCTTTTACTGAATTTCATCATTTTCAAAGGACTACAATCCCTGAAAAATTCAACTTATTTGCACTTATAGTTCCTGAGATAAAATCGTGTTAATCAATTTGGGGTGATTTATCAATTTTTCAATTTTTCTGAGTACCTTTTTTCATAGATTTCAGTGTCAAATCTGAGAATAATTTTGTGTATGGAGTTTGGGGTATGTTAATTGACCATTAGGATACAAAATCTCAACAAGAAAAATTTTGAAATTTCATCGTTTTAGTAAGAAGGTACCCCCCTTATGATTTAGATTTTGGAAAACTTTGAAAGGTCATAACTTCTTTTCCATTATAGATAGAAAGCTGAATCTTTTACTGAATTTCATCATTTCCAAAGGACTACAATCCCTGAAAAATTCAACTTATTTGCACTTATAGTTCCTGAGATAAAATCGTGTTAATCAATTTGGGGTGATTTATCAATTTTTCAATTTTTCTGAGTACCTTTTTTCATAGATTTCAGTGTCAAATCTGAGAATAATTTTGTGTATGGAGTTTGGGGTATGTTAATTGACCATTAGGATACAAAATCTCAACAAGAAAAATTTTGAAATTTCATCGTTTTAGTAAGAAGGTACCCCCCTTATGATTTAGATTTTGGAAAACTTTGAAAGGTCATAACTTCTTTTCCATTATAGATAGAAAGCTGAATCTTTTACTGAATTTCATCATTTTCAAAGGACTACAATCCCTGAAAAATTCAACTTATTTGCACTTATCGATTTTTCAATTTTTCTGAGTGCCTTTTTTCATAGATTTCAGTTTCAAATCTGAGAATAATTTTGTGTATGGAGTTTGGGGTATGTTAATTGACCATTAGGATACAAAATGTCAACAAGAAAATTTTTGAAATTTCATCATTTTAGTAAGAAGGTACCCCCCTTATGATTTAGATTTTGGAAAACTTTGAAAGGTCATAACTTCTTTTCCATTATAGATAGAAAGCTGAAATTTACAGCGTTTGAACTTCGTTGACCAGTCAGAAACAACTACTCCGAGGGAAAATACCCCTACCGGCGTTGAACTACACTGATTGGTCTGAGCTTTCGTTGGCAATGAAAATTGTTAGAAAGTTTTTCCAGGTAATGACCAACGTGAATTCAGGGACACAACAGTCCCTGTTTGGGAATCGACCCACTGAGCAGTGGACTCAGGCTTCCCGTGACAATCCCTGACGCGTTTCGTCCTTGTTGCGACTCTTCAGAAGGACATAGGCTGAAGCTCCCTGTCCAAGCAAAAAAAAAATAAAAATTCTAACATTTTCCATTGCCAACGAAAGCTCAGACCAATCAGTGTAGTTCAACGCCGGTAGGGGTATTTGCCCTCGGAGTAGTTGTTTCTGACTGGTCAAGAAAGTTCAATTTTGTTTGGGCAGGGAGCTTCAGCCTATGTCCTTCTGACGAGTCCTAACAAGGACGAAACGCGTCAAGGATTGGCACGGGAAGCCTGAGTCCACTGCTCAGTGGGTCAATTCCCAGCAGGGACTGTTGTGTCCCTGAATTCACGTTGGTCATTACCTGGAAAAACTTTCTAACAATTTACAGCGATTGTTTGACTAGTAGAGCACTACAATCCCTAAAAATATTAGTTCATGTCAGGCCCGTAGATAGGATTTTTTCCTAGGGGGGTACCTATAAGGCATCATACTCTTATAGTGAATATTGTAGTTTAATTTTTCAGTTTTCCATCGAGTAATTCTAGATTTATAAAAAATGGCAATGAATAAATCCTAATCAAGAAAATAATTCAAACAAAAATAAGTTTATTCTGAAAAAGGAATAACAAGAGAAAAAAAAATTCGTAGAACAAGAATACAGGTATAAAAAACTTAAAGCAGAAAATCTTACCCATAGTTTTTAACAGTATAATAATACCTAAAAAAACAACAATTATTATTTTTCACATAGGTATTATAATTAAATTGAATATAGTATATTTTCATTTTATACCTAGGTACATGATAGCTTAAGCCTTGCATATATATCCATATTGTCCCCCAGTACTCCCGTATCTACGCTGATACCATTCTTGAAGAAAAAATTTGGATTTTCGGTTGAATGTGATTAAAAATATACTGCAACAACACAAAAACTTTCTATGACATCGGAAACATATTACAATTACAGCAAAAACTAAAAAGGCAAAACGTAAACCCATACATCAAACGCGAAAACGAATTATTTTGTTAGCGTTTTGTCAATTCCGCCGACTTTTATTGCATAATATAATATTTTTACGTCTTCCCATAAATAACCGGAATGGGACATGTGTTTTGATCATAGAAAATTGCCATATTATATCCATAGGCGTTACAATTGAATTCTTAACAAAATTTGTTGTTTCAGGAGGTATAGACTTAACAGCACGCCACTGGTGGATAATAGCAATAGTCCTATTGCTAGCAGCAGCAGTAGGAGTGGGGGTACCAATAGCGCTCAAGGTCAGCGCAGGGGCGTCGTTCGAAGAACGATTGGAAGAAGCTTCTAGACTTTTACAAGTAATTATATTTTAATTAATTTGTTTTGCATCAAAATTTAATTTTTTTCCATGCAGGAAACGCCTTTGATAGACGGCCACAACGATTTGCCGTGGAATATAAGAAAATTCATGCACAATAAGTTAAGAAATTTTAAGTTCGACACTGATCTTAGAGAAGTTTCTCCTTGGTCGACGAGTGCTTGGAGTCATACTGATCTAGTGAGGTTGGAACGAGGTCATGTAGCAGCACAGGTAATTATTAACTGTTTTTGGTTTAGAATATAGCTTTGTTCCAACCCAGCAGGAAATATTACCGTCAGGATTCTGCGCAAAACCTAAAATTTTTGCGTAGAAACTGAAATTCGTATACAGAGTGGTTCCGAAACTGTTGTGGGACGGTTTGGAACAAACCTAATAGCTCAACACAATAATGTAAGAATAATTTCGGTGTTCCTTTTAAAACAAAACCTCACATTATTTTCCGGTTCAAATAAAATATCTCTGCGATGCCTTAAAAGTTAAATACGACGACGACGTCTTTTTCTATCCTATATAACTTTCAACAATAATCTCTCTCCGAAAAGTTTCCGCTGCTGCGTTCAAACAAACATTTTTCTTTTTATGATTTACTTTAACTTTTTGGGTAATCTTCGAATTGCATTTTTCGGAGAGATAGCTATAGAAAATCGGACGGGACTTTGTTTTTCGATCGTTAAAAGTTTTGTTTAATTGTCTATGGAAAAACTTTGTAAGTTCTGTTTTTAAGGTTTTTTTGTTATGGAATGGACGAATAATTGGCGCAGTCGGTTAGAAATAAGCGAACAAAGGGATTATTTTGATATTTTTTACTTTTTTTCTTGAATTTCAATCCTTTCTCTATGCTTTTGCAGATTTTTAATCGAATATCTCAAAAAAATTTCTCAAAATTTGATTTTTGTCAAAATAACATTGATGCACATTTTGCCTCACAACTTTGTTAATTTCAATCCGATCTTAACGTAATTAGGCACTAATTAAAGCCAAATAAATTCTCTACAAACCTGTTGGCTACGATTTTAATTTAGTGTCAACAATTTCACAGCTGAGAAGCTTCAAAATTGAAAAATTGAAGTGAGCGAACAGAAAGGGAAAATTTTTCGTCCTTCACGTCAATTATGACGTGATCCATTGTCAAGAGAATCTTTTTTTGAAAAAAAATTACAAAAGTCAAATTTATCAATTTTTTGACAAGTGACAATTTAATATAATTTACTTTTGAGCTTCCTCTAAGTACCTGGAAAATTTCAAATGATTTTCTCGAACCGTTACCGAGAAAAAAATTCAACTGTGACGTGATGCATTGTCAAGAGAATCTTTTTCCGAAAAAAAATACAAACGTCAAATGAGTCGAATTTTTGACAAGTGACAATTCAGTATAATTTGCTCCTGAGCTTCCTCTAAGTGCCTGGTGTGGCAACGCGGCAACATTGCCTTGTCAAGGGTCGCATATAAATAGCGGACGTACAGACGTCTCTGCCTCTTTTGGTAGCATTGAAATAACCTAATAAACAAGTATTGTGTAATCTATGTGCTCTGTCCCTAACCGACGCGAAATAAAGCAGTATTATACGAAAGTGTTCGGACTCTCATTTAGCCTTAACCCCCAAGATATCACAGTGGCGACGAGGTGAAAAATTGGAAACGCGGGGTCAAAAAAAAGGCTTAAATTAAAATCTGAGTTAAAAACGACGTGACTTGCAAAGTAAAATGGCGACGGCGGGAGTGCCCAATTTTTTTGAATTCCATTCCGACGTGGATGAGTGGCAAATCTATGCAGAACGTTTGGAACAGCATTTTGCAGCCAACAAAATCGTGGAAGAGGCGATCAAAACTGCTGTTTTTCTCAGCTCCGTGGGCCCAGAAACGTACAAACTCCTGAGGGACCTTTGCTATCCTGGCCTTCCCAAGACGAAAACCTTTGAGGAACTTAGAGGACTTCTCAGCAGCCAGTACTCGGTCAAGCTCAGTGTGTGGCGGGAGAGAATCGCATTCGATAAACTCCGACAGGAAGACCTATCGATAGCTGAATGGTACGCAAAGATAAGAAGTGCAGCATCTAAATGTGAGTTTAACAACAATTTGACAACTTTTCTAACCCATAAATTTGTTACTGGTTTGTCCGACGGGAAGGTCATCGACAGAATCTGCGAAATTGAAGGCGAGAAGACCTTAGAAGAACTCGTTTCCCTAGCCCAGAAAGTTGAAAAGCTCCACCATGTGCAATACGTCAGTTCGAGTTCGAAATTCCCGCCAAGACATGGAAACCAGATGTTCCGTCAAAACTTTGGCTCCTCCTCCACCGATGACAGACCTCCCGACAGGTGGCAACACCGGCCGCAAACGCGACCTGCTCCGAACTACTCTACGTCAAGAACCTTGGACAGGTACCAATCGCCACCGAAAAGAAGAAGACCGTCAGCTGATGGTGACAGACGTCAACAATCATCAAGACAGCCAAGTCATAATCGAGGTACAAGTAAATATTCTTTTAATAAATATCAAAACAATAATTTAAATTGCACATTTTGCAAAAAAAATCACAAGGGTGAATGTTATCTTAAAAATATTAGGTGCCAGTTATGTAAACGAACAGGGCATACTGCGAAATATTGTAAACAAGGAAAATCCCAAGGTAGGAACGTAAATTTTGTTGATTATTTAGATAGTAGCTTTTCTGATGACTCCTCTGAGGTAGCTGACTCTGCTGTGGTGGAAAATAATTATTTCTCCGAAATTTACAATGTTTCTTCACTTGGAGGTCCACACTCAAGTGAATTTTTGGTTGAATTAAAAATTAATAACAAAATATTTTCATTTTTAATCGATAGTGGCTCAGCCATATCTGCTTGTGGTTTTGATACTTATACAAATTTTTTTTCTGAATATAGATTAAACAAAGACGGTGTACTTCTGAGAGGATATAATGGTGAAACTTTTAGACCAGAAGGGTACTTCACTGTCTCCGCAGAACTCCGAGGACAGGGGCGGGACCTGAAATTGTACGTTGTCCGCAATGGAGGACCCAATCTATTAGGTAGAGATTTTTTAAATAAATTTAAAATTAAGTTTACTTTGTTAAACATTGACCTTGATGCAAAGGATAAAGTAAAGAGCCTTGTTGATAAATTTCCCTTGTTGTTTAGTGACAAAATTGGTCATTATAAATATTCAAAAGTTTCTTTAGAGTTGAGTCCTGGGGCAAAACCTGTGTTTTGTAAAGCTCGTCCTATTCCATTGGCTTTCCAGGGGGCAGTGGCAAAAGAGCTAGAAACCATGATTGCTGAGGACGTCATTGAACCTATCGAGAATAGTGAATGGGCTAGTGCTTTGGTTCCAGTTCTGAAAGAGAACGGCACGTTGCGACTTTGTGGTGACTATAAGATCACAATTAATAAATACTTAGAAGATAATAAATATCCGTTGCCACGAATCGAAGAGATTTTGGCAAAATTAAATAAAGGGCAGTTTTTTTCAAAAATAGACATAAGATCTGCTTACAACCAGATTGTGGTTGATGAGAGGAGTTCAAAAATTTTGTCTATAAACACCCCAAAGGGATTGTTTGCTTTCAAACGCTTGCCCTTTGGCATTAAAACAGCAACTAGCATTTTTCAGCGAATAATGGACCAGCTCCTTCAGGGTGTCAATGGAACAATACCTTTTCTCGATGACATCATCGTGTCTGGGAAAACTGCTGAAGAGCATCTGAGAAACTTGGAGGAAGTTTTTCAAAAACTCCAAGATGCTGGTTTCACATTAAAAAGAGAAAAGTGTTTTTTCTTCCAGAAGGAAGTGGAGTACTTGGGGTTCCGTGTGAGCAAGGAGGGAATAAAGAAATGTGAGTCAAAAATTAGAAGTGTTCTGAAGGCTAAACAGCCAGAAAATTTGACAGAAGTTCGAAGTTTTGTAGGAATGGTGTCATATTATTCTAAATTTGTACCAAGAATATCAACAATATTAAGCCCCATATACAATTTGCTAAAAAAAGACCATCAATTCAAATGGACCGATAGCTGTGAAACTGCATTCAGGGAAATCAAGGAAATTATAGCTTCCGAAGAGGTTTTGGTTCACTTTGATCCAAAATTGCCCATCATCCTAAGCACTGATGCATCAAACGTGGGCATTTCAGCAGTGCTCTCGCACCTAATTGATGGCAGGGAAAGAATGATCACCTGCGTCTCCCGGACTCTTTCGGACCCAGAGAAGCTTTACTGCACTACCCAAAAAGAGGCCTTGGCCATATACTGGGGTGTCAGCAAGTTGTATCAATACCTTTCGGGGCACCACTTTATTTTGAAAACTGATCACCGACCCTTGATAGCACTTTTTGGCGAACACAGGGGAATCCCACAGATGTCGGCGAACAGGCTGCAAAGATGGGCAGCATTTTTGTCCATGTTTGATTACGAGATCCAGTATATAAAAGGGGATCAAAATTTTGTTGCAGATTACTTTAGCAGAGCACCACCACCAGACGCAGAGAGAGGAAAGGAATCAGAGATGTTGTTCGTGAACTTCACAGAGTGCCAGGAGGATTGGCCAATTAACAACAAAGAAATCAAGCAACAAACTCTACTTGATGCTGACCTGGAGAGTGTGAAAGCCTGCATCGAAAATGGTTGGAGTGGCAAAATCAGTGAAAGTGTAAGGCCATACTACAACAGACGGGACGAAATTTCGCTGGAAAATGGAATACTCCTACTTTCTCACCGAATAATTGTGCCGGAAACCCTGAGAAAAAAGATTCTTTCTGAAATTCACACATCTCACTGGGGAATGTCGAGGATGAAGGCCCTGGCAAGATCATATGTATACTGGCCCGGCATCGATTCAGACATAGAAAATTTGGCAAAGTCATGTCAAATATGCATCCTAAACAAGGACAATCCGCCCAAATCAGGCTTGACTCCATGGCCATTGGCCTCAAAACCGTTCGAACGAATTAACATAGACTTTCTGTCATTGAAGGGCAAGGACTTTCTAATCCTTATAGATGCTTACAGCAAATGGGTAGAGGTCTTCCTCATGAAAAACACTTCAGCTTTTGAGACTGAGTCAAAGCTGCGCAAGACTTTCGCCAGATTTGGATTGCCGGAAACAGTAGTAAGCGATAACGGCAGCATGTTTGTGTCTGCCAGCTTAAAGAAATTTTTTGCCAAAAACGGAATTAAACATCTTACCTCTCCAACGTATAATCCTAGGAGTAACGG